TACCCGTGTCGGCTGCGGTTCAACACATCCATCGCCTCTTCTAGTCGAATAGGGTACCGCTCCACTGTCATGCTTTCGCGTTTTGTCATAAATTGCGACACCGGCAATGACACATCCTTCACAAAATCAATGTCCTTTGAGCAGACAATGCCGAGCAGTTTGCCGTCGTGTCGGCCATTCTCCGTCACCAAGATACCGCTGATTCCTTTTTCGGCGTTTATCTCATGAATGACGGAGATGGGCGTTTCCGGGCCCACCGACTTGGGTTTCATAATGAAGCCGTTACGAAACATCTTGACACTCCGCACCATCTGCACCTGGTGTTGGACGGTGCAGTTGTTATGGAGCACACCGATGCCCCCCATCAACGCCATCGTGCGTGCCATCTCACTCTCCGTCACGGTGTCCATCGGGGAAGAGACGATGGGAATATGCAACCGGATCTTTTTCGTGAATTGCCCCGAAACCTGCACATCTGATGCGCCAAAGTCAATAAATCCCGGAAGAATAATGAAGTCGCTGTACGTGAGGCCGTCGCTCTGAAACAAGTCCTCGGCCGTGACGCCGTCCCGTATCGTTTTTGTGCGGAGGTCAACATTCGCCATCGTTCCTACTGCTTGCGTGCGGTTATGCGTGCGTGAAGAGAAGTGCTCGCGAGTGTATTAATTCTCTCTTTCTCGAAGAGTAACCCGAGAACCGGTAAAAAGAAAAAAAGGCATGAAAAAAAAAAAAAAAAAAAAATATATATATATATATATATATATATATATACATAAATACATATATATTTATGTGTCAACAAGAAGGAAAAGAAGTGGGAAAAAGTCCCCATTCCCACGGTGAAACACACGGAAGGCAGCGCACCTCCCCCCGCCGTTCTATTCCCGGGGAGAGACGCTTAATTCTCTTCTCCCGCCCACTCAGTCAACAATCCTTTTTTTTTTTTTGCTTGTGTGAGTATATGTCCATCATCCCCCTGCTGCTCTCCTTCCTTTTCTGCCTCACCGCACCTCCCCCTCCGCTCTATTTTCCCTCTCCTCCGTCGACTCGTCATGAAAAAAAAAATGACGGCGGCAGCACACAGAGAGACTGGGAGATCACTGTAGGAGCGACAGTTTCGTCACAAGCACAACACGGATGCTCTGGTCAAACGAGGCACAAACCAACAGCCCCTCCTTCGCGCGGTTCCAATCAAGCGCGTGTATCGGCTGGTCACCCAACTTCGCCCTGTTGAGCTCCTCAACGCCTCCAGCAACACCCTTCGCAACGCCCTCGGGATCCCGCAGCATGCGCTCCGGTGGGTAGCGGTAACGGCAGAGCGTCAATTCACCACCACCACCAGACATGAACACTTCACGGTTCTGAGGCAGCGCGCGGGTGCACCACACGGTGCCATTTGACACCCGCTCCTCCACGTACGCGTAACCCAAATTTGGATGGAGCGTCCGCATATCGTACACGCGCACGCGGCCTTCCAGTGACGAGACAATCAGTTTGTTCATGTTGATATCCGGGCGATCAAACTCCAGGTCACACACGCCGTTGTTCACATTGAACTCGTGGAGCATCTTCTGCATGCGCATGTCAAATAACTTCACGTCTCCGTTGTCGTACCCGGCCGCAACGACGCGCTCATCAGGATCAAAGCTGTTCCCAAAGCGAACAGTCCAACAGTCACGCGCGTGGGCGGAGTTGGCGGGGTTCAGAGCAACCACTGGCTTATTCGACTGACGTACATCCCATACTTTCACGCAACCGTCACGCCCACAAGTCGCAATCTCTGGTGGGCCGGAGTGCTGTGCACCGTCAACGGCATTGATAATGTTCTCGTGTGCATGTGGCACAAGAAAGAGCGGATCAGCGTCGAGCCGTTCAATGTCCCAGAGAGACAGACCACCTGCGAAGTCACCAGTGCATAGTGTTATGTTCGACTGCCAGTTGGAGGTGTTGTGACCAAAGGTAGAGCATTTTATAGGCATCTTGCCCTTGATTTCGCACTGCACGCTCAGTTCACCCTTGTTAAGCTGCAGGACCGATATGGCGCCTTTGTTATTCGGATACTGGCCCACCACAGCAAAGGACGCGCTGCGCGGCACCCACTTCACGTCGAAGGCTGTATAAGGAAGATTCTTCTTGACATGTTCAATAATCTGCTGCCGTGAAAAACGTCGCTGCTCCTCACGCTTCCGTTCCTTTTCTTCCTCCTCTGTCAGGTACGACATGCCGGCCGCCAACTACGCTTCTCGGTGGCACTGAGAGCGAAGAGAAAAGGGCACGTTACGGGCAGTGAAATCGGCATGAGCAAAAGACGTCAGCAACTCCCATGACGCAGCGGCAGCAGTACACACTCACACACGAACAGACAGAAACACGAAGCAAATTAATATCATAAAAAGAAAAAAAGAAAAAAAAAAAAAAAAAAGAGGAGGGCTATCATCAAGATCACAACCCATGCACTGTCACAACTGCCGTATTACGCACCAAGAAACAAACGGAAATAAATCAAACGCAACAAAACAAAAAATTGTGGTACCAATGATAATAAACACTCCGTTTTGTCAGATCGCCTTCTCCCCAGATATCCTTTGCGTTCTTCATTGCGTTTCTCTCCGCTCGCCCCCTTATGCGTCAAGGGACCAACCATGAGTGATTCCCCGCCCAACAGCTCCCGCCACCGCCAGCAGCGACAGGAGCACCTCAACCAACCACGCAGGCACACAAATGTACATGGTGTCTGGATCTGTTCAAAGGTCTCGTTAGTCACATGCAGGCTCAGTTCACATGCTGCATCCTCCTGCCCTGTTGCTTTACAGGCGCCCTGTCCAAGAAAAAAGCCCAGCGACAACCCGATCCGACCAGCAAATGAGCAATGCAAAAGGATTATCAGCACACATGAAAAAAAAACCGAAAAAAGATACAAAGCAAAAATATATATATCACGGTGGCGCGGCTGAAAGAAAGGGCAGAAAAGACAACAAACCCAAAAAAAAAAAAGGATGGAAAGGGGGATGTGAGAAGAAGTGAATCGGCGTAAAGCCAGAAAAAGAAATATATTTATTTATATTTATATATACACATCTTTGCTTATGTGGTTTATGCAACGCAAAAATACACGCCGAACAAATTTATCTTCCGGCCATTTTCAAACCTTTTTTATTTTTGTTCTTTTTGCGATCTAGGGCGAGGGGCTTTCAGGGGCGCAGCAAGACGCAGAGAAATGAAGGAGACACTATATTCCCAGCGCCGCACGTAGCTGCTCCTCCCAGACTGCTGCCTGTGGTGTCTGGAAAAAACACCAGTCCGCCCCCTCGATCTTCAGCGCAAAGTGGTTGGGATCAATGCAGGCCACCTGTTCCACCCGCAGCAGCGGGATGCATCCCCGGAAGCCGACTCTCCCACCGGGTCGAAGCAGCAGCGACAATTGACCGTCCGCCAGCTCCATGTAGCGTTCCTGATAATCCTGCGTCGGCTTGAGCTTCCACACCATGCCAGAAAAGAGCACGGAGTGGTCCAGCCGTGGACGAGGCAGCAGCTGCTCAGGGCTAATGTCATGCAAGACGCGCTGCAACAACGAATCCTCCACATCAGAGACTCTTAGAACCTCCGGAAAGCTACTCAGCGCTGCGACGAGGAGGGGCTCGCGCAGAAGTTGAGTGGTGTCTGGACGCTCCACGGACGACTTGCGGAGTAGTGCGTACACGATGCGCTTCAACTCCACACTGTGCGAAGTCTTTATGGGCGGCACCTCCTCATGAAGAACCTTGTGGCGCAGCTCCTCATACTTGGTGCCCTCAAACGGGTGTCTGCCGGTCATGGCCTCGTACAGGATAACACCAAGCGACCAAATATCGGCGGCCGCTCCGTAGCGCTCATTCCGCCATAATTCTGGCGCAACGTAAGCGGGGGTGCCGCATATGGTGAGGCCCACGTCACCACTGATGGTGTCATACGCGTTGCTGAGGCCAAAGTCTCCCAGCTTCAAGAGTCCCGTCGTTTTCAAGAGAACATTGGCAGGTTTGAGATCACGATGGAGAATCTTTTTCTTCGTATGGAGGTAGTGAAGGGCCAGGACAAGCTGTAGCAGAATATGAACTATCTGGTGCTCCAGCAGCTTCCCGCCATCGTGCATCTGATAGCGTAAATCGCCGGCGTCACAGTACTCCATGACGAAAAAAAAGTGCGACTCTGTCTCAAGCTTCTCGTGAAGCCGAATGCATGCAAAGTGGTCAATAGACTCCAAACAGCGCACTTCTGTCCGCACCCGCAACAACTTTGGTTCACGGTAATTTTTAAGAGAAGTTATCTTCAGTGCATATGGTGTTCCGTCGCTCACATCCAGCACCTTCCACGTCTCCCCGGAACTGCCATGCGCCAAGTAACGTACATACGTGTACTTGGAGTCTGTGGACCCACTGCATCCAAGAAACCCCGGCACGAGGATATGGCCTGTCGCACCTCTCGTTCCCGACTCCGGCTGCATCAAGCTCTAAAACAAAAGCCCAGAGGGGCCCCACGCCGAGACGCAACTCTACGGTTTTATTATTATTATTATTATTATTTTAGTTGATTGTTACTTTGGACAGCAAGAAGGGAAGAAGAAGAAGGAGAGACAAATGCGGAGAATCGCGCAGGCACAAGAAAAGCAAAAAAAATTAAAAGAAATATATAAAAGAAAGAAAAAAAAAGAAAATGCAAGCAAAACAATGCGAGTTACGACGGCTCTCTTTGCCCCTCTTCCCGCTTGCGCACACGTGGCACCTCGCCCCACAATAGACATTAACGACCTCGGAAGCGGCCGCAGAAAAAAAAAAGAAAAAAGGGAAATCACCCGCCCCACACATATATATATATATATATATATATATATATACATGGGGGAAAAAAGCTCCAAAAAGGCCTTCTGAACACCCCCTTCACACAATTTCGCCCAATAATAAAAGGGGATGACCGACGAAAGTGCATGTGAAAAAAATTTGCTGCGTAAAACGACGATGAAAATCCAAGTGTGACAGTAAACGTAATCGCCAACGGTAGAAGTAGCCGTATTGGATATTTTCGTTGCGTTACGAGACAAAAAAGTAAAAAGAAAAGAAAAAAGGAGGGAGACAGTACCGCTTGCACCAAATAATAAATAGGAGGGGAGAAGACTGTCTCTTCTGCTTTCTGCCTTCGCGTGCATCTGTGACTGCAGAAATTCATGAACAAGGTATAATACGGACGCCGAGAAAAAACACACAAAAAAAAAGGGATCGAAAATGGAAAGTAAGCATTGATTTACATCCGAATTGCGTGACTATCATCGCTCATGCTCGCTGCTCTCTTCGGGGGGCTGCCTCTTTATTCCATCCTGTAAGTGCAGCCATATCACGCAGTGCCCTCGTAATGTGCTCCGCAAGCCGCGTCGAAGAAGTCGATTTGCAGCTGTGCTTCGAGGTGATGGTAAAGTAAAACAGACTATCGCCGTATAAGCAGTAGCACACCCCGTAACCGTCGTCTTGCACAGGGCCAAAGCCGCCATTGGGTGTTTCAAACGGTTCATCGTTTGGCGGGTGAAATTTGTCTGGCAGCTGCCGCGTCAGCACTTGCG